TAAGATAAGGTTGCCTGCTCAATCATTTTGATTCAGTGTTTTACCAAGATCTTCATCCAAGTTAATAATAAGAAAAATATTATCACCTAAGATAAATACTTGGCCACACTTAATTTATGTCCATGCAAATTAATAGTGACTTAAGAAAAATGAGTATGTCTCCCTCACAAGAGTATCTGGGGGTGGTCCAGGGCTTGATGTTTGTGGTTCACGAGGTTGTCCAGTGTCCCAGACTCCATCTATCTTGTTATTTTACCACTTAGAATGGTGTCTTCATACCATGGTCCCCCACACCTGCCACCATGTCCATGTGTAAAAGCCCAACAATTGCCGAGATAATGTTGAAGATGGATAAGAAATTTGTCTTTTCAGATGTAAATACTTACTATAAAGCAATATATAGAAATAAAACAGTGTGGTTTGGATTTAAGACAAATAAACCAATGAGATGGAATAGGGAAACCAGAGCAGATGATCATTTGCGGAAACTTGGCAAATGACAGAGGTATCAGGATAAGTCAGTGGTGGGAAGACTGAGTCATATAGTAAATGGAATTAGGATGCCTGGCTATCTGTGAGGAAAAACATAAAATTTGTGTTCATCATATTGTTATTTAGTTGTTAAGTCTTGTCTGACTCCTTTGCGACCCATGGACTATAGCCCACCAGGCCCCTCTGCCCATGGGATTTTGTAGACAAGCATATTGAAGTGGGTTGCCAATTCTTTTTCCTGGGGATCTTCTCGACCCAGGGATTGAATCTGTGTCTCCTGCATTGCAGGCAGATTCTTTACCGCAGAGTACCTGGATTTATCATATATCATGTGTGAAAATCAATTTCAGATTAATTAAAGTCTGAGATGTGGGAAAGAAAACCTTTAAATCTTTTAGGAGAAAATAAAGTGCATCTCCTTTTTTTTTAAGATAGAGAAGGGCTTCTTCAGAGCCCCAAAGCAAAAATTATAAGATAATTAGAATTCACTACAGTAAAAGTGAAAGCTCCTAAACTAAAAAGACAAGGTAATAAAGTAAATAGACAAGTTCCACTTTGGCAGATGTTTTAAAACCACCACATTACTCAATAGATAATGGACGGATATATGTACAGATGGATGGATGGATGGATGAGTGGGTGAAGAGAGAAACATTTGTTGAATTCTTCTGCCTATCCTGGAAACGGGCAAGAAGCCTGGATGTTTGCAAGAAGCCTGGATGTTTGTTAGTGTTTTAAAATAGAGTGCATGAATAGAAATTTTGAGGTATGGTACAAAAGATCAGGAGATGTCTCCCACCAAAAAGATAGCTAATTACTCGTGGTTTCCAAGAGAGGGGATACACACCATTCCACGGGGGGCCACGTGGGGAAGCATCAGCAGTTGTCAGGAGGCAGGGGGAGAGGAAGGAGCCCTGAGCAGTAGCTTTTATTGTGGTTTTCTTGGAAAGAAAGGGGTGAGGGAGGGTGAGCAGGCCTAGGATTGGCTACTTTGAGTAATTTCAGCCAGCTCTGGGGCATAGAGGCTGGCACTGGGGTGATTAGGCTCAGGAGTGTGAGTTTTATAAAGGGTGTGGTTGAGATGTGGACTTGTGGCTTGAATTGGAAAAGCGTGGCCCCCAGGGAGGAGGACTCCCTCTGAGTTGGGGGGAGGTACAGGGTGGAGAGTAAGAAGGGGGCTGGGGTGGAAGCAGGCGATGGAGCAGGAGGCCAAGGCAAGATGCCCCGGGCGTATCATCGAGTTGTCCAGAGCAAGGCAGATCTGGCATCTGCGTGTCAAGACACTGAGTTAACAGAAGCTAGAAACATGGTTAATACAGTTCCACACCACTGGCTGCTCTCGTCACCTAATCTTCTTTATTACCCTGCTTTGAATTTCCTTTCCGCTAAACAGCTGCTCAGTCTGGAGCTTCAGGAGGAAAGGATGAAATTAAAGTGCCAAAATTAAGAATTTATTCTTGCATGTACCTTATTGTTGGCACCTGGCTCCTAAGGCCCAGCAGAGTACAGGTTAATTGACTTTACCTCTTTGAAAAGACTCCCCCCATCTACCAAAGGAGGGCTCCCACAGCCACCCCCCCCCAATTTGGATCAACTCCATTTCGTGCCCACATGCCCAGTCTAGTTTGCTCCCCAAATGTTTTTCTGCCAAGCTCTCTACATGAGCAAAGACACATTTCATTTGCAAGCTTAAGGATCTACCCTAGACTAAACTCTTAGTAGCGATTTTAGGATATCTAAATGCCAACCCAGCTGTTAAGTTCTTCCCCAGGAGTGAGCTTCAGAAGCAGAGACTCACTTGCATTGCATGAAATACAGCCCCACCAAACCAGCTAACAAGTTGTGCCACCTGCCAGCAGCCACGGAGAGGTGCTGACCAGGAGGCGAAATTGGAGTTCTCCTAGGGACCTGAATGTGGGCGCTGGGGGGAGCGCTGGCTTGGAGTCCACCTGATCAGTCTCTGCTGATCGTGCTCTGTTGCTTAGAAACCTTATCCTTCTGACCACCCTAATAAGTCCATCTATGAGCAGGCTCTTTCTGGGGCCCTGTGCATGCATGCCAAGTAGCTTCAGTTGTGTCTGACTCTTTGCAACCCTATGGACTGTAACCCATCGGGCTCCTCTGTCCATGGGACTCTCCAGGCAAGAATACTGGTGTGGGTTGTCATGCCCTCCTCCAGGGGATCTTCCCGGCTCAGGGATCAAACCTGCATCTCCTGCATTGGCAGGCGGGAATGCACCACCTGGGAAGCCCCTCTGGTGTCAGTAAAACAGCCTGAGAGGGTTGTGTGTCTGTAGTCCAGAAGAAGGGCTTCCCTTGTAGCTCAGTGGTAAAGAATCCACCTGCAATGCAGGAGACACAGGAGATGCGGCTTCGATCCCTGGGTTGGGAAGATCCTCTGGAGAAGGAAATGATAACCCCTTCCAGTATTCTTGCCTGGAAAATCCCATGGACAGAGGCTCCTGGTGGGCTACAGTCCATGGGTCGCAAAGAGTTGGCCACAACTTACAGACTAAACAACAGCAACAACAGTTCTGAAGCAGACAGACAAGAAAGCAGAAAATTCTGATATGGCAGAAGCAGGGCCGGCTACCTTATTTCTGGCCCCCTGCACAAAATAAAACTGCAGGTCCCCTTGTTCAAAAAATATGAGGGGTCTCAAGTTGGTGACAGTAGAACATCTAACCCAGCGCAGGGCCCTGCTGTGGAGCTGGCCGGGGAAGGCGACCGGCTTGGGGCTGGGCTGATCTGGATTGAGGGGAGGCACAGGCCATGGGAGAGTGAGCCATCTAGAAGCCAGGGAGCTGATGTCTACATCAAGGGATCCATGTCATCAGGTTCTCCAGATCTGGTCTTTTCTGGGCTAGTCACTCAGTGGTGTCCGACTCTTTATGACCCCACCCTGTAGCCCACCAGGATCCTCTGTCCATGGAATTCTCCAGGCAAGAATACGAGAGTAGGTTGCAACTTCCTTCTCAAGGAGATCTTCATGACCCAGGGATTGAACCATCATCTCTTGAGTCTCCTACATTGGCAGGCAGATTCTTTACCACTAGCACCACCTGGGAAGCCCTGGTCTTTTCCAGAAACTGGGTTATTAGGTTGCTAAGAAAACCCCCAAAGACCTTTTCTGACCTTTGTATGGTTCCTCTTAGCCCCAGGCTCCCTCTTTGGGGCCACACTTACCTACCCCACCAACGGTGGCATGTAGACACTTTTCTAGGGTCTGCCCTGTCCTAGCCAGTGGCTTTTACTCCTTGATGTGGGGAGGGGGACCCTCCAGTGCTCCAATGGCGGAGGGCCCAGCAAGCTCCTTGGTCCCCGTTAATTATGTCCTACCCACCACTGACTAGTCTTCAAGTGTCCAGAGGCAAGGTGATGGGCTGGGGCAGGCTCCATCCGAACAAGCTGAGGTGTCTCACAATGCAAAAGTAACTGTGAAAACGTGTGCTAATTAATCCAGAGTACTTTGTGTTATGAAGCCATTGTACGCTGAGGTTTGTCTGGAAATTCGATGTGCCATTTCTCATCAAAATTGTTTTCTGGTCACTAACTGGTTAATGCAGACCCAGGCCAGTCTTAGCCTGGGGTGCTTCATGGCCTACTGTCATTATGGGTATTCTTCCAGAGTCAATGTTCCATGCAATGGCCTCAGAAAGGCCTCTGAATAAAAGCATTCCCCCTAAACCTGGGCTACAGCTAAGCAAATTCTGGGATTTTTAGCATTTTGGAAGGAGGCACAGAGATCAAAAATCAAAACATGCAGACCGAGTCCACAGACAGGAATTTAATAACGTCAGTTCTGCTTTATTGACGTGCCAGTGTATCTACTGACCTCACTAATGTTTAACATATACAAACGCACATTAATCAAAACTGCAAAACCTGGAGAACTTTAAAGAGCTTCCCTGGTGGCTCAGTGGTAAAGAACCTGCCTGCCATAAGACATGCAGGTTCAACCCCTGGGTCGGGAAGATCCCCTGGAGGAGGGCCTGGCAACACACTCCAGTATTCTTGCCTGGAGAATCTCATGGACAGAAGAGGCTGGCAGGCTACAGTCCATGCGGTCATAAAGAGTAGGACACAACTGAAGTGATTTAGCATGCATGCATGGAGTGCTTTAAACCATGTTGAAATCAGTGCTGATTAAGTTCCTACATTTGTTAATAAAAGCGTATGGAAAGGGGTACCCAACGGCAGGAGCGACGCAGGCCAAAAAAGATCTGAGATGGCTCTCATTTTTTCCTGGATCTCAGAACAGAAATTCTTTCCCCGAGAATGGAGGCCCTCCGGGGGGACAGAATCCTGTGTTCCACCTGTGTGTGGGTGGCTCCCAGACCTACAGTTCTCACCCAGCTCTCTTTCAGAATCAACAGCCTCATCTCCAATGGGCGCTGAGACTGAACTTAGTTAAGTGGTGTCCGCAGGGCCGAGACTGTCCATGGTCAGAGGGAACCGGCCATCTCTTCCAGCACTCAGAGAGGCGCCTCCTGGCCACACCGCAGTGCATGCCACTCCACTCCACAGATGCTCTGAGCTCCAAGTCTGCTCTGCCCTGGATGGCTTACTCTTCAGAGCAGAGTGTCCATGGGACGCACAGCGCCCTCTTCAGCCAGCGCCGCTGGTGAAAGCTTCATGCTGGGAGGTTCGATAGGAATGCTGCTGCTGCTGCTGCTGCTGAGTCGCTTCAGTCGTGTCTGACTCTGCGCGGCCCCATGGACTGCAGCCCGCCAGGCTCCTCTGTCCATGGGATTCTCCAGGCAAGGATACTGGAGTGGGTTGCCACGCCCTCCTCCAGGGAATCTTCCAAACCCAGGGATCGAACCCTGGTCTCCCACCTTGCAGGCGGATTCTTTGCCATCTGAGCCACCAGGGAAGCCATTCAATAGGGATAAGGAGGCTGTATTCAAGTCCTGGGGCTGCGGTACCAGAGCACCGTCAACTGGGGACTTGACACAGCAGAAATCTCTCTCACAGTTCTGGGGGCCGGAAGTCTGACATCAAGGCATCAGCTGGAGTTGGTTCCTTTATGGTGGTGGTGGGGGATGGGGGAGTGAGGTGGGGAGCTGGGCGGGGGCGGTGGAGAATCTGTCTCAGTCCTCGGCCCTGGCGTCTGGGGGCTGCCGGCAATCTTTGGCATCCTTGCCTGGTGGCAGCATCACTCTGATTTCTGATTCAGTTGTCACAGGGCCTTCTTCCTCTGTCAGTCTGTTTGTGTGTCTTCTCCTCTTGTTATAAAGATGTCAGTCATAAAGGGGAATTCCCTGGTGGTCCAGTAGTTAGAACTCCATGCTTCCACTGGCCTGGGGGACACAGGTTCAATCCCTGGTCAGGGAACTAAACCCTGGTCCCACAAGCTGCCTGGCACAGCTGGAAGTTGAAATAAGTAGCAAGAGTTCTTTTTTAAAAAGAAAAATAAGTACATAAAGACATCAGTCATATTGAATTTGGGTCCACTTTAATCCAGGCGGGCTTGTCTGAAACTTAATTACATCTGCAAAATTTCTGTTTCCAAGTAAGGTCCCTGTATTAGCTCTGGCTAATATATGATAGTAATAATGATAATCACGTACAGATGTGAAAGTTGGACCATAAAGAAAGCTGAGTGCCAAATTGATGCTTTCGAATTGTGGTGTTGGAGAAGACTCTTGAGTGTCCCTTGGACAGCAAGGAGATCAAACTGGTCAATCCTAAAGGAAGTCAACCCTGAATATTCATTGGAAGAACTGATACTGAAGCTGAAGCTTCAATACTTTGGCTACCTGATGCCAAGAACTGACTCACTGGAAAAGACTCTGATGCTGGGAAAGATTGAGGGCAAGAGGAGAAGGAGGCAACAGAGGATGAGATAGTTGGATGGCATCATTGACTCAATGGACATGAGTTTGAGCCAACTCTAGGAGATAGTAAAGGAGAAGGGAGCCTGGTGTGCTGCAGTCCACAGGGTCATGAAGAGTTGGACCCGACTTGGCAAATGCATGACAATAGCAGCAACAATGAGAGAAAAAGTTATAGCAATGAAAGAATGGGGTCATAAGAGACAAATGATGAATGAATGGATGGATGTTATTTAACAAACATGCAGGAAGAGCTTCCTGTAGGCAGGACACGGCTTCTAGAAATTTATAATTTTTTGGTTTTTTGGCTGCATTGCGCAGCATGTGAGATCTTAGTTCCCTACCAGGGATGGAACCCACATTGCCTGAATTGGAAGTGTAGAGTCTTAACCACTGGACTGCCGGGGAAGTCCCAGAACTTTATAATTTTTAACTCATGAAATACTTACAACCTTGTCTCCATTTTACAGATGGGGAAACTGAGGCATGGGGCAGCAGCCAGGACTAGAGGCAGGCTGCTGATTGGTGCTCTCAGGTACCATGTTCCTCTCCCCAGTGAGCCTCAGGATTGCTGCAGCTCCCAGCCCCCTGGAGCAGGGGAGGGAGGGGGTGTTGCAGGTAGGAAATGCAGAGGGAGACAGTGGACAGGAGGGGCGATGACAGAAGCGGCCCTCACACAGAGGATGGACCCAGTCACAGACCACCACCAGGAAGCATGGTCCAAATCCCTAACACCTTTACACTTCCGTACCTGGAATCACGGCCGGCAAAAGTTTGTAGACGTGTGAAGACATAATTAAGCCATACGAACAGCCACTTATCTGGAGTAACTGGTGCTTTGCACAGGGCCTGCACCTGGGAAGAGGTTGACATCACCCCACGCGCTCCCCAGATAATCTCCAAGGAGAGAACAGGGACGGCAGGGTCCCCCGTAGGTGCTTGCTGGCTTCCATCTTCCAAAACCCGCTCTAATTTAGACTAACTGGGGTCAAGCCCCGTCTCACTCAGGGAAAAGACCGAATTACAGATTGTTGGACGATTCTTCAAGAACTTTTAAAATACGCACAGCAACATAACAAAATAGAATTTGCCTAGTCAAATTTCTTGCTGAAATGAACGGGAAGAGACAATTTGCAATCAGCATCTCCATCATGTAGGAGTGAAACACTTAAGGAGGATGGAAATCTAATGCTGATTCCACAGTGGTACCCGATGCACCAGCCCAAACCCGGCAGAGTGGTTGCAGGTGAAACAGCCTTGCCATTTCCACCAGGGACCTCCCAGATCCAAATGTCTGTTCCCTTATCATCCCATCCCTCCACTGGAGGTGTGCTCTCTCTCCTGTGAACTCTCTCGTAACTCATTTATTTCACCTTTTTGCCTGTGACTTCTTGCTGTCTTGTAGGATTTATTAAACCCTGTTTATTGAGCACTTGCTAGGTACCAGGCGCTCTGCACACACGGTCCCTTTTAATCCTCAGACCACCTCTGTGCAAAGGCTTCTGACTCTGATTTTAGAAGTGGAGACTAGAAAGATGAAGTCATTTATTATGGACAGTGCTGAAGGAAACACCTGTCTAGCCTTCTCTTATTCCCTCCAAATTCCAAATGAGAGACATGAATCAAAGAGAGTACATTTATTTGGGGGAAAGGAAGAGTAGGCTATTTGCCTACTGCAGGCTGTAATGTGTTAATTTACTATTCAACCAACTCTGTACACTTGTAACATTTATTCTGTAGGTGTCAGATGGCGTGTCCACAGAGGAGTCACGGGAGTGACCAACACTAGGGGCATCACCATATACAAGCTGGATTTTGAAGGATGAGCACGAGTTTCCCGGTAGGCAAGGGGAGAAGGTAAGGGGAAATGGAGTGGGTGAGTGAAGGAGTGGGGGTGGTGGAAGGTGAATTGAGTTTCTTGGGCACCATGCCCACAGAGGGAGAGAAGGGGTGGTAGGGATATGGGCATCTGGACCCATACGGAGGGATGTATGCTTAATTGCTCAGTCATGCCCAACTCTTTGCGACCCCATGGACTGTAGCCCACCAGGCTTCTCTGTCCATGGGATTCTCCAGGCAAGAATATTGGAATGGGTTGCCATGCCCTCCTTCAGGGGATCTTCTTCCCAACCCGGGGATCAAACCCAGGTCTCCCGCATTGCAGGCGGATTCTTTACCATCTGAGCCACCAGGAAAGCCCATACTGAGGGACAGTATGACAGAAATGAACTATTTACTACCAACGCCCCATGAATTAGGCAACTTCCAACTGTATTGAAATCTAGCTGTCAAAATATTTCTTTTTTAAATAAGTAGAAAGCCATGTAGCTTTATACCAGCACATTAAAGCATGACCCAGTGGAAGTCCTAATAACCACTGTAATTTTGTAATAGTGATAAGTGTAAATGCTATTTCAAGATCTCTGCAATAGCTGTGATGGGTAAGTATCTGTAAACATTTGTCCAGGGTCTTGGGAATGCTGGTCCCAAGACCAGCTGGTCCAGTGGTTGGGAATCCACCTTGCAAGGCAGAGGATGTGGGTTTGATCCCTGGGTGGGGAACTAAGATCCTGCACGCTACAACTAAAGATCCTGGGTGCTGCAGTTAAGGCTCACTGCAGCTAAACAAATAATTTTTTAAAAAAATCTACAGAATGTACAACACCAAGAATGAACCCTAAAGCAGACAATGGATTCTGGGTGATTACGGTGTATCAGTGAAAGTTCATTTGTTGAAATCAATGTGCCACCCTGATGGAGGGGGTTGATAAGCAGGGAGGCAGTGCATGAGTTGAAGCAAGGGTTTATGGGAAATCTCTGGACATTCTGCTCAGTTTTGCAGTGAACCAAAAACTGCTCTACCCAATAAAGTCTTTTAAAAATATTTTTATCATTTTTTACTTTTCGGCTGGGGCATGTGGGATCTTAGTTCCCTGACCAGAGATCACACCCCCGCCCCTTGCCATGGAAGTATGGAGTTTTAACCACTGGACTATTAGGGAAGCCACTGAAGCCTTTTTTAAAAATGGCTAATTTTATGTTATGTGAATTTTACCTCAGATTTAAAAAAGAAAGCTATACCAAGATACCATTTTTTACCCATCATTCCGGCAAGAAGAACAGGGTTGATGGCAGCCCGTGTCGGTGAGCCAGACCGTGGGGAAGCAGGTCTCTTGTACATCGTTCACAGGTATGTTAAAGGGAAAACCTCCAGGAAAGCAGCCCGCTGACCAGATGACATTTATCACATACTGGCGGCCTTTGACCCAGCAATTCCACTACAGGCATTTATCCTATAAATACACTGGGACGCAACAGCCATGACACAAGTATATGAATATTTCTTGCAGTATTACATGCGATGGCAGAATATTGGAAACAGCATAAAATCCAGAGGACCCATTAAATAAATGGCAGTAATTCATACAGTGGATACAAGGAATAAGGCAGCTCTTCATGGGTCCAGCTAAGTGAAGAAAGCAAAGAGCAGAACAGTGAGTTTATGCACTCCATTTGCTTATATATACGAACCACCAGGTTTGTGTAATTCATTACAGCAGCCAAAGAAAACCGTCCTGTGCCTTTTGAGTTTTGTCCTGAGTGTGTATGTGTGACCCTCTCAGTCTTGGGCTTATTTGTACCCAGATCCACTCCTTACCTTCTGTGGCTGAGTTCCAGGGGTCTGAGCCCTGCAGGCTGTTTCCTGGGGCTTGCATGTGAGCTTCTGACTGGTTTCAGGCCACAGGGGCCACTAGTGGGAAATGCGAGGGTGGGAATAACCCCAGAGCTCCTTTTTCTTCCTCTGCCCTGGGGCAACACCTCCCCAGGGGACATGTCTCCTCCCAAGGACCCCACCGGCGGCCCCAGTCCTAAGGTCTTGTGGCTCCACACACATCTGCCTTTGTCCCTGCAGCCCTAACGATGGTAGCAACTTCCTACCAATGCCAACTTCAAGGTTGCCTCACTGCGCCCGTTAGATCCTAGCTCCTCCGCCATCATGCAGCCATTACCTCTGGAGCATGTAGCGCCTGTTGCAACCTGCTGGGGAGGGGGCTACTGCTAGGGGATCTACCAAGAGCAGCAGCCCCAGTTTGCAGCTGTTGGGGGTCGCTGTGAACGACACAACCCACCCAGGAAATGGATGCACCACGATGAGAAGGGCAAGATCAGATTCAAGAGCGTGTCAGTCCTGGGGCTTTCCCGGTGGTCCAGTGGCTGAGACTCCACACTCCCAATGCAGGGGGCCCAGGTTTGATCTCTGGTCAGGAGCTAGATCCTGAAAGCTGCAACTAAGACACAGTGCAGCTGAATAAATTTTTTTTTTTTTTAAATAGAGTGTGTGGGTTCCCCATGGCCAGTGGGTCTCGCCTTATAGCTGGTGCAGGGCGACAGTCAGCAAGCACCCCTCTCACCCTGCAGGTGAGGGACCCCACCCCTTGCCCACAGTGGCATTGGCCACAGGCCACATGTCAGACCCACTTAAACCAAGCAAAGAAGTACAATGAAGCTCAGAGCAGAGAAATGTATTCCCAAACAAAGGGAGATGCTCTCACACACACTTTGTCTCTCTGAGGACACGTTCCAGGCCCACTTTGCGACTGTGCAGGGCGGCAAGAGGGCAGACTCTGACTGCTTTTTCTAACCTCCCTTACATTAAGTACACTCCAATTTTAATACCTGGAGTGTTTGGGCCCTCACTGATATTCAAATGATATTAATAAGCAGAAGAAAAAGGTCATGGAAGTGAAAAAATCTTCAGAGTATTTGGCCCAGCCCAAGCTCCATGGGGCTTCCCTGGTGGCTCAGAGGGTAAAGCATCTGCCTGCAATGCAGGAGACCTGGGTTCGATCCCTGGGTCAGGAAGATCCCCTGGAGAAGGAAAAGGCAACCCACTCCAGTACTGTTGCCTGGAGAATCCCATGGACGGAGGAGTGTGGTAGACTACAGTCCATGGGGTCACAAAGAGTCCGACACGACTGAGCGACTTCACTTTCACTTTCAAGCTCCATCCTTGAATCTCCCCTACCGTCTTCTCACCAAGGTGCCGTCTGTGGTTGGTTTTATGCCTCCAATACTTGGAACTCAACTCCTCCACTTGCCACCCACCACATCTCTGTCACACTCCTCCATATCTTTCAGTTCTGAGTTGTCTCAGCTTCTCTAGTGGATGCCCAGCTGCTATGTCTGATTTCTGCATTATAAGGGTGCCCCACAGGCCAGCCCTGTTCGACCACAGTGCAAGCCCCAGAGATGTCGACAGTAAAGCAGGAGAACACGGATAACGCTGAGTATGCCTCTGTTGGTGTGGCCAGCTGTGGACAGACCGAGGCCCCAGAGGCAGGTGTGGGCCTGCTCCTCCCCCTCCTCTGCAAAGAGCCCCAGGCCTTCCCCCAGCTGGCCCTCCTCTGAGTGGCCCCAGATCCTGCCAGCTGTGGTTGGAAGGAGGTCTCCAGTGGTTCAAGAAGCCGAGGCAGACAATCCACTTGAGAGCTTGAGCGATGTTCGCTTGCCTGCCTGGTTTTTGTTTTTAGAGTCTGACATGGGAACATTGCTAGGTGACCGTATTTTTCAAAGCTCAAATTGAGACAGATGGTCTGCCCAAAGATGTTTTCCTGATTTAGCCATTTACTTATATAAAAAAGCCTCACCGAGAGTGTGCACGCCAATTCGCATCTGATTGTCCATTTAATGAATCGCCTTTAACCAGCAGGATGGAGTCTCGACCATTGGGGGTCTTTATCTGGCCTGGATGGGGGAGGAGAAGGCAGGGGGCTTCCAAGTCTGGAGGGAGTACGCCCGTCGGCCCTGAGGTCAGGAAGTTCGGAGCAAGCTTCGCAGAACCAACCTCTCCGGGCTCTGAAGGTGATAAATAGTCACCAAAGACCCCGGGGGAAATCGCCACAGCTCAGCAGCTGGGCTTTCACTCCGAGCCATCACCCAGGACATGGAGCTGGGGAAGACGGATGGGCGCCCACCGCAGAGCTCAAGGGGGAACCCCTGCTTGAGACCCTGTCTGGGGAGGGACTCTGGGCCTCCTGCTGTCTGTACCGGGGCAAAGGGGGAGGCAGCAGAAGTAAGGAGGGGGACGGTGGGCATGCCATGGGGCCTCAGTGCCGTGCATCATGGGGCATCTTTGTCCTGAAATCTACCAGATGGTGTTTCAGACTTCAGCTCCTTTGGTCCCCAGGGCACCCCGTGAGGAAGATGCCATTGTTAACCCCTCCTCTTTCAAAGCCAGAGACTTGACCAAGGCCACACAGCTAGTAAACAGTGGAGGTGGGACTCAGGGCCTCTGCTCCCTCTGCCTGGAATGCTAACTTCCTCATCACCTTGACACCTGGGATCAAATGTCACCTCCTCAGTGAAGCCTGCTCTGATTGCATCCTACCCCTCACACGCCAGACTGCCCCCACCTCCTCTCTCTGCCTTACTTTGCCACGCACTACCCCTAGCACCTCCTAAATTCTCTTTCACATACTTATCTTGCCTCTTGTTCACGGTCTGTCTCCTGTTGCTGGAATGTAAACTCCCTGAGGACAGGCATCTTCATCCAACTCACTGATCATCCCAGTTTCTAGAAAATGCTTAGCACATAGTACATGTTCAGTAAATGTGGTTAGATGAGTTGTCTTTAATCTGTCACATACTAGAAGCCTCCTGGTAGGTTTAATCTCCTTTCACAGATGATGAAGCTGAGACGAGAGGTTCAGCACCAGCCCAAGTCTGCACAGCGAGAAGGAGCAGAAAGGAGCGTGGACCTGGTTCTCTCTTGACAACAGGCTGCCTCTGGACTGATTGTAAGAACGACCCCAATCCTCCTGCCTTCCTCGCTCCCCACACCCTTTGTGACAGCACAGAGACTATTCCCCACCCCTTGAATCTGGACTGACCATGTGACTTGCTTTGGCCACAAAAATGGGGCAGAAGTGTAGCGTTGCCAGCTCCAAGCCGCAACCTCCCCTTTCTCCTGGGACCTCCTCTCCCCACCACAGGGTGAGTCCCAGCCCCGGCTGGCCCGGGGAGGATGGCAGCAATGTGGACCCTGCTGTCCCCGTTCTGGAGCACTCGGCCCAGCCAACAGCAGGTGCCTGCAAGGACCTGCGGTTGGCCAAGCCCAACCCACAGCCCCAGAACCACCCCACCCGCCGGCTGCAGATGCCTTGGGAGCCAAAGTGACTGTTCCATGTGGGATGCTGGGATATGTGGCGTTGTCACGCACCATTTCTGTGGCACTTGACAACCGACACGCTTGAAATTGAACCAGAGTCTGCACTGGGCGAGTCAGCCAGTCTAGCTGCACGTGGGCAGTTCCAGGACTGGGCGGGGGTGGCAGCTTCTGGTGGGTGGAGCCGAGGCACCTCCACCCCCTTCCCAGCCCCCCTGAGGACTGCAGTGAGACAGAGGGTGGGCCACAGCAGTGGAGCAAACCCCAGTTACCCCTCGAGGAGGCTCCCAGGCCCCCGCCAGCTTCTCTTTGGAGGTGGTGTGCCCCACCCTTGTGCCCTGACGTTGGTGTCACTGGCCGGGGGAGGGGGTGATGGTGCCCATGTCTTCTCTTCTCAAAATTCGGCTGGGGGAAGGGTCAACTCGGTGGCGGGCGGACAGCAAGGGGTACGCTCCACTCCCTTGGCTGGGTTCCCTGAGAACAGAACCTGAGGCAAAGACGTGGACATAGATAGGTTGTTATGGTGCGACTCCAGGAAGCCAGAGGGAAGGACAAGCCAGTGAAAGATGTACTGGGATCCCAGTCTCTGGGGACCCCTAGGAGCCACAGGGACTGGTCCCAGACTTACCCACCGCGGGGCAGCAGGCCTCGACTCCAGGGCCGGGGTGGAGGCCAGTCTCCAGGGGCGATGGCGCCTGTGTCTTTGAGGCTGCTCCGAGGGGGCCTGATGGAGTCAGGGCTGCTCCTGGCAGACGGCGAGGCCCGCCCACCAGCCTTGGCTGAAGTCGGAGGACAGGCCTCACCCTGCCTTCTCTGGTCACGCCAGGTGCTTGCACCAGTAGCTCCTTTGACCTCTCCCCTCCTACAAACTGAAGGCCCAGTCACCTCCTCTGTGATGCTGCCCTGACCTTCCCAGAGCTGCTCCCTCCTTCCCCTTTGCCGGGTGGCCCTTTGCATGGGCCTTGGTTGTGACCACAAGGCCCGTTGGGCAGGAACTTGCTTCACCCCAAGCACAGTACTCAACATGACTTCCGTGGCCCATTTAATGCCACGACCCACTGAAGTGGGCATGAGACCCTCACCACTTAACAGGCAAGGGGCGGAGGATTGAGTTTCGTGGCTAGAAAGTGGGGGAGGCAGGATTTGAACCGACTCCTAGACAGACTTGGGGCTCCCCTGGTGACTCAGACAGTGAAGGGTCTGCCTGTCATGTAGGAGACTCAGGTTTGATCCCTGGATCGGGACGATCCCCTGGAGAAGGGAATGGCAACCCACTCCAGTATTCTTGCCTGGAGAATCCCATGGACAGAGGAGCCTGGCGGGCTACAGTCCATGGAGTCGCGATGAGTCGGGCACCACTGACTGACTAACACTAGACAGAAAGCTGAGCCCCACACACAGCCCTTAACAGGCGGCACAGAAAGGATGGGTGGGGTATCCATCTCCTCCCCTGGACAAGGCGCTTCTGGAAGGCATGGCACCCAGTGCCCAGCACACATGGAACATGCCCCAAGAAGAAGGTGTGCACACAGGCTGGCAGATGGAGTTCATAGCTTTCATGCATATTCCGAACTCACACTCCCACGGGCAGCTGCCAGCAAAAATAGCCATCTCATTTGAATGGGGTTACAGGAGGAAGAAACAGGAACCCAACTTCAGACAAATGGACATTTTCAGAAGATGAAGGTAGCAGGCGGGCCTCCAGAGCTTCGGCCTAGCAATTTAGCACGATTAACTGAAGCCGAAGCCCCAGTCAATATAATAGCGGGTGCATTATCAGTTTTGCCACAAACCATTATTCATTATCTCTGGGTTTCGCTGGCTCACCCGAGGCCGGCTGGAGCACGGCTGCTTCTCCCGCAGTCAGCTATATTTTAATCAGCTACATTACAGGAAAACGTCCCCAGAGGAAATCGTGGCATCTCTCGGCATGTCAGCTGCTCACAGATTGAAATAGGAATGTTCCAAGGTGTGGTAATGTGGTGTGACACTGTGGGAGTTAATTTATAGAAAAATTAAACATCATTTGGAGCTGAGCAAGGGAGATGAGCAGGGGGCAGGGGGAGCTGGCTTGGTATCGACAATATTAAATGGCCTTGGGTATTGATTCTGGAAGGAATCTTTGTAAGGACTCAGGGTGGTCTGAAAATAATTCCCCAACTCAGCTTGAGTGTGTGAGTGTGTGTGAGAGTTGTTCAGTCATATCCAACTCTTTGTGATCCCACGGATTGTGACCTGCCAGATCCCTCTGTCCATGGAATTCTCCAGGCAAGAATACTGGAGGGGGTTGCCATTCCCTTCTCCAGGGGATCTTCCCAACCCAGGGATTGAACCCAGGTCTCCTGTATTGCAGGCAGATTCTTTACTATCTGAGGCACCTGGGATGCCCAAAGAAGACTTAGAAAGCAAGATATGCCCCAAATTAAAAGCATGTATTTAGTGTTGTGTGTCTTAGAGGGATGGGGAACTAGAAGAGCTGGGGGTGAGGGTATTTGTCCCCAGATGTTGTAGTGACCACCTAAATCTGGATGACCCCCCAAATCATGACTCTAGGCCCGCGTTCTCCCTGAATTCCAGACTCAAATGCCTAGGCAGATCTCAACCATCCACTCATTTCCTGGCTGCCTAGGGGGTATCAGGCACAGTTTGAGACACCAAGGGTCCAGCAGTGAATAAACCACAGAAGGTCCCCATGGTCCCCTCTTCCAGTGGCTCACAAGGAAGATGTCTGTGATGCCAGGGCAGGTTCACACTAGAATGCACATCCTTGTTATTCCTCCTCAGACCAGCATCTCATCCTGAAGTCTCAGGGGAGTTGGGGGCTCACAGCCCCCAAGATGGAAGCCCAGGAGGTCTGCCCTGGTGGCTCACATCACCTGATCTACCTTGGCATTCTTGCCTACACAGTTCTCAAAATTGTGTTCTCTGCCTTCCTATCCTTTCTTATGACCACAGGATGTTTCAAACCTGTTCCAACAGGGGAGAGATGCACGCACACATTACCACAAGCAATCCTAACTCTTCAGATCTCCTGCACAGTCAGAACAAAAATACACTTCAAACACACAAACCTGGTCAGGTCACCCTGCAGCTCAAAATCCTTCACAGGCTCTGCTAGGACTGAACTACACCCCCCTTTCCACTTCATATATTGAAGCCCTAAGGCCCAGTGTGATGTGATGGTATTTGGAGATGGAGCGTTGGGAAGGTGCTTGGGTTTATATGAGGTCACAAGGGTAGGGCTTGGGATTAGATGTGATCATGGTGGGAATAGGGCCCTTAAAAGAAGTGACTCAAGAGAGTACCACCCCCAAACCTTGTGAAGACACAGTGAAACAGTGGCCATCTGCAAGCCAGGACTCTTACTAGAAACCGAATCATCCAGCACATCTACCTTAGACTTCCAGGCTTCTGGAACTGCATGAAATAAAGGTCTATTGTTGAAACACCCCAGTCTATAGCAGTGGGAGCTAAGACTGGTCCCCGTATTGCCCACTAGAAAAGCCCAAGCTCTTTGCACCCCAAAGTTCCAGTTGTCCACTTGGCCTGTCTCTTCAATGCCTTCTCCTCCCAACCCCATCTTGCATGCAATACTCCTGCAAATTGTTTGATTGTTTGTGGATGCCCCTCAGATACTGTGGGAGATGTTAGTATTGGCCCCAATTCATCATCCCTCCCTGTACCCAGACCTTTTATGATGGCATTTGCAGTTCTTCCCACCAAAGGCAAGTCTTGACCAAGTGACTTGCATTGATCAGTGGCATGGAGCGGGCATGACGTAGGCAAAGGTGCATTGGAGCTTGCCTCTTGCATTCCGCCATAGCCAGGAGAAAGTCTTCCTATGGTCGCTGCTGTGCCTGGGTCCTCAGATGAATGAAGGTACATGGAATACAGCCCACCCTCACCTACTTTTTAGAATGTTTGTTACACAGCACTACTGCAGCAGTTATTGACTGATACAGACAATGTACTGTTGTCTTCTGACTTCTTGTCTCCTCCTGCTTTTTCCCTAGTCCAGAATGTCCTTATGCACTCCTCCTGTCCTAAATATCTTTCAAGATTTAATTCATTGTTACGTTCTGCAGGGAGCCTTCCCTACTATTTCCAGAAATGCTGTCATCTTCTCCCTGATCCTGTATTTAAAAGAAGGAAAAAAAAAAAAAAAACACCCCATGGTGGCAGGTAGGAGGCAGAGAAAGAGTGCTCCTGCGTGCCGGGGCTGAGGTAATTTATGGTCATTTTCTGCCAGGAAGAAGGAAGGCAAGCATCTCCCTCTGAGGTTCAGCATGGGGACCACTCAGGGACTCTGGGACTCACTGCTCTTTGCACCAGTCCAGGATCTGTGGGGTTGCTGATGCATTTGCCTTTCTGGTTACTCGGTGTCAGTTCCCAGCCAGATCCCTGCGTAGTTGCTGCTAAGACAGAGTTACATGATACTGCATGCTCTGGAATTGAAACAGCTGCTAACACCTCCCAGAAAACATTGTATTTAGTAACTAGCCAGCCTCTGTTTTAATTTCAGTCTCTTTGCTCTTCCCAGGCTTTATTGCGCGCCAGGGATTTCTGTGCAAACATGACTGCATCTTCGACACGTCTTTGGCAGGCTTGACAGTCCCTTTGCCTTCTTTGCCCGGTGATGATGGAGGCCTTACTTATCCCTGCCCCTCTCAGGAGTCTATAAATAGAGGGAGAGACGCACACACAGGCACACACAGGAGAACTTATGCTGCAAAGCTGCTCAGCTCAGGAAAAGCTGCAGACACATTTTCCCAGCCTCCAGGGGTTCTCAGAGCCCCTGTGCTGGCGGCCAGCAGATCCCAGGCTCCTGCATCCTTTCCCCACTTCTTATCTTGTTCAGGGCAGGTGGGCCAGAGCCAGATCCTGCCTATGCAGTTCCTAACTGGAATGTGCACTCAATGTTTCCCCTCCTACCCACATCTCTCTCAGGACTAGTCAAGCTAGAGTACAGATCACCTTTCAGGTGTAGGGTGTGATAAATTACTGGTCAGCA